TAGCATGCGTCACGAAATGACGCTTCTTCGGGCGTCACATTGTAACGGCCGAATATACTATTGTATAGCGTGTGTCACGATGTGACGCATCTTCGGGCGTCACATTGTTACGGTCGAATATGATATTGTATAGCGTGTGTCACGATGTGACGCCCGAATATGATATTGTACAGAGTGCGTCACGATGTGACGGTTCTTCTGGCGTCAAATTCTGACGCTATTTTATAGCGAAACGTGTCGCGGTTTTGTAAACTCTCAAGTGAAAATCATACATCAAAGTGTTTTTTTTTTAATACGTTATAATGGATTTTTAACGAGTGTCGGTCAGTTCTATCACATTTTTGTGCAGTTTTCTGGATGGAGAAAGTATATCTTGGATTAAAAAAAATTAATTCATAAGTAGTGAACTGCCACCGTATCAAATCACTCACCAGGTAGTTGGCCCAAGAGATTTTCTTGAAAACTTGCTTTTTTTTGCTTTGCAATGTATTTCAAATCAAAACAATCAATATAGCAACTTTGCAATACGACACAGTGCTTTTGATCTTTTTCCTTTGTGATAGTGCCTGCCAAAAGTTCGAATATGCTATTTCAGCGCGTGCGTCACGAAATGACTCATCTTTGGACGTCATATTGCAATGTATTTCAAATCAAAACAATCAATATAGCAACGTTACAATACGACACAGTGCTTTTGATCTTTTTCCTTTGTGAAAGTGCCTGCCAAAAGTTCAGAATATTATTTTTGCCTTGACAAAAGAATCAAATTTTTTGACAAATCATTTAGTTTTGTCTTGATTTGGGTCATTTGAAATAATTGAATTTTTTGATGGATGTGTTCGAAAGATCCAGTGAAATTTTTTAATCGATGAAAAATAAGAATGGTTATAAATCAATTGATGTTTTTCTTCCAATGTTGAATTTGACTAAAATGGAGCTAACAGCTTTTTATTGTCTAATGGTCGATTTTTTAATTTTTATTTTTGTCTTGATCATCATTTGCCAAGTGATTTGTGTCTGCATAAATATGTAAATTCTATTATTAGTGATAATTTGATAGGTGAATGATTTTACTGTGTAATTGATGAAATTAATAGGTTTCTTGTTTCGATAATGCAACTTTTGCTGAAACAAAAACTACTTTCTATAGTCTCATGAAAATCATCGTCAATAACTATAAATATTATTGAAGGGGGTTTTATAATAGAAAGAAAAAAAAGAAAATGGGTGTCCATAGAAATACAACATTGTGTAGAGTATTATTTTTAACTTAATTTGATACTACCTTGGTATAATTAATATAATTATTTGTTCAAATTATTGGTTTAGCTGCAAAAAATAAATCTGAAGAAACCTGAGGATGTATCAAGTAATGTCTTGGATAGTGGAACAGTTTGCTAAAATCTTTGAAAAACTGCAACTAGACTGAAAACTGCAGTTGCTTTTTGCAGCATTATGAACCTGAGGAGCATAATCTTTATTAGAATAATTATTTGAGTAGAAACCAAAATTAGAGAGAAATATAGGTGATCTTATGTGGTTCAAATTGGAAGAGATATATTTTCAGAAGAGAATAAGTTTTGGGAAAGATTTTGACTTTCTACTTCACCATTTTGAACAACAAATTGAGAGAATCTTCCTAAGAAAGGAAGGAAGCAGTAACTCAACAAATAGGTGTATAGATCATGCAAAGAATCAACTTTCAGATGCAAAATGTGTCTGAAAGTAACATCTTTGCATGATCTACACATCTTTGTGGAGTTTATTCTGAAACTTTGCTTTCCTCCTCTCTTTGGAATATTCCCACATTTTTGTATGAAGACGTAGGAACTAGAAACCGTAACCTTCCCTTCCCATAAAATTGTCGTATTGAACTATTGAATTATACTAAATTCTTTTTCTATGAGTTGAAATTGAATTGTACCATGCCTAAACATCGCTAAATCAAGCTTACAAAAACATTTTGCTCAACTTGTTTTCATATTTCAAATTTTATCTCCAACATGTTGCTGTATTCTCTTCGAATATGCTTTGTGTTTGCTCATATGCCTATTTATTGTTTATCAGTATTTCTCCTGTCTATTATTGCTTTTTGTACTCTAATGTTATAATAAAAATAACAATGCATAATTGTTTTTCTTTCAAATCTAATCAAACATTTAACACAATTATCAGGAATAGACAAGCACCATGAAAAATGCAATAATAATGCCTCATATTCGCATAAGATGTGTAGAGCTGTTTCTGTACCTTCATTGCATAATCTGCAGCTGAGGTCTCCGTTGTACAGCCCCATTTTATTCAGGTGTCCTCTAAGCGGACAATGACCGGTTAGTAACCCTGTAATTATTCTGAGCCGATCCCTACTATATTGAAGTAGTTCTTCGGTTTTTTTCTCGGACGGTTCCCTAATGAAGGTTCTACCGTGTTTGTTGCCAGGTACTTTTGTCCAGTACTCTGTGTGCTTCTTATTGGTCCATGTCCTAATCTGGTTTCGTACCGATGATTTTGCTACCCCTAGAGGTGGTTCAGGACCTATATATGAAGTTGATGATCCGTGTCTAGCGCATTCATCAGCTTGTTCCTGTTTGTAAGTTCATTCAGTTCTTCATGGCATTGCCAGACCAGTTTTGATGTCACCTTCGGGTTTGTCAAAGCCCCTAGTGCGCTCTTTCTGTCTGTAAAAATATTGATCCACCCATTTCTTTGAGGTCCCATTTTAATAAGTCTTGCACACAGCAAGATAGCATGCACTTCCGCCTGAAAGACGGATGTGTATAGTCCTAGCGGATAGCTGTAGTTTAGATTTCTATCCGCTCGGTATATTCCAGCACCCGTTCCATGTTTGGTCTTCGATCCATCTGTATACGAGGTGTTTTTTCCAAACATGTTTTCGGGATGACTAATGGTCTTCCACTCTTCACGGCTTATGATTTTGGCCATGAAGTTTGTGTTAAAGGTGTACTTCGGTGTCATGTGGTCCGTGCACATATTCAATATGTGCTCCTCCACTTGTTCCGAAATTTCTGTTCGGTGAGTTTTCCAGTCTGAATTGGCCCATCCTGGCCTCATATATAGTTTGTGGAGATCAAATCGTGAGTTGCGGTTTATTAAATTACTACGGATCTTCATCAAGTAACGACCGAATCAATCAGAAAAAAAGAAACGATACGTATCAGTGACTAGTATTCATCTTGGAATCTGATTGGTGAAATCCCACAGATTTTCCAACAAAATTTTTAAACCGTGTGAAATATCCCGCCAATTGGTCCTCAGCTTTCAGCATACCGACCAGTTTTTAGTGCTTTCATGCGTCTATTTCACTATTCGATGCTAGATGTCGTGATTGTGATTTTCAGTGTCCGCGTGTGCTTGCTTCATTTCCGGTCGACAGGTAGCTGCCCATTTTGAGTCAGCTGGTGGCTGAACTAGATTACAGCGGTGGCGCAAACCTCTGCCTCCGGTCGATAGATAGCGCTTTCTGTCATACGATTCGTCCGTGCGCTTGTCTCAACTGTTAGTCACTAGATGGCGTCGTGTTCTCCAATTCCAGTTGACTCGATTACAGTTAGCAACATGCTTGTTATTACCCCAGTTCACTAGATAACGCCCGTATCTCAAGGCTCGGATGGACCAGGAACACGACGTCTCCCGTCCGGACGTCCCGCACTTGTGCTCCCGTAGTTCGTCAGTAACGGTTAGCCATTAGACAATGGGTCAGCTGTGTACGGTCTCCCGCTTCCAGCAGACACGACCACGGTTTTCAATGCATCCATGCGTCTGTTTCACATTCCTATGCTAGATGACGCCCTCTTTTCCTCTATCACGAATATAATTTTCAGTGCACTTCTCTGCTTGCTTCATCTTCCGGTCGGTAGATGGCGGCTCTCTTTCCAAGTCGCTTGAAATCTCGACTTTCAGAAAGGACAAAAACCAAGATAAATACATCTCAGTTCCATACCACCAATATTCGGGGAACTTTGGAAATATTTTCAAGGAACTAGGTATGAAGGTGGTTTTTAAAACAAGTCATACACTACAGAGCCTTTTGCAAAGTCCAAAAGACAAAGTCGAGAATTCGGAAAAGTCTGGAATTTACGAAATTGAATGTAAGGACTGAGATGCAAAATATTATGGACAGACAAAAAGATCTATCAAAGTAAGATATAAGGAACACATAACACACTTAAAATGTGGAAGTCCTGAAAAATCAGCAGTCGCCCATCATATTTTGCAACAAAACCATTCCATAGACTTCAGTTCATTAAGATTAGTTAGACAAGTTAACAATAACAGGCAAGTAGATGCCTATGAGAGTGTAGAAATAACCTATAACAAAGAGCATACTATATAGCTTGTTAAGATAAAATAAAATAATGTTGTTGGGTTTACTGATTACTACATAAGGACACATTGCAAAAATAAATTTGGATAGGCAATATTGTGAAATTAATTTTTATATAGCTGAAAATTGTTTTATATAAACATGTATTGTAAAATAATAGAAAGGGCAAAATTGTAAAATTAATTTAGGTTAGTATACCTGTATGGGTGGTACGCCTGGATGGTTAACCTGTATGGGATACCCATATAGCATAAATAGGATTAACTCGCATTAGTTTCTAGTTTTAATCTTCCTCTTTGAAGATGATCACTTGGTGATCGAGACACGTGTCGAAGAGTTAAAAATAACGATTTGATGTTCGAAAAAAACTCCAGTAATATTCACTTGAAATCCAGTTTCCAGCGGTAGCGCTAGCCTCAGCCCCCGGTCACTAGGTAGCGCCCTCTTTCATGCTATTGTCTAAGAATCCTCAGACAGTGACTGTTTCAACTACCACTAACTAGATGGTGCTGTCTTCTCCAACTTCAGTTGACCCGTTTACAGTTGGTCGTTAGCTTGTTTCTACCGCAGATCGCTAGATAGCGCTCGTAGCCCGAGGCTCAGATGGGCGAGGAGCACGCGCCACGACGCACTCGCAACCGACCGACGTCTCGCGTCCGGACGTCCCGCACTTGCGCACCCATCGTTCGTCAGTAATGGTCAGCCGTGTACGGGAGACTCGGTCGAGAAATGCGCCTTAGGCACGTAAGTGTGGCTGTCAGAGACACGGAAAGGCAGCAGCGACATGTACGCGTACGGTTTCGAGATCACATAGACATGTAATATGCGTCGTCGAGCGGCTGCAAGTGCGTGTTCACGGTGAAAATCTGGCGTGAACGGTGGCTCGGAGAAATAATGGCGTCGGTGGCGGGCCCGCAGGAACAGCCGCCCGCCGCGCACGGCCACAGCTTCTGCAAGAAGACCTTCCACAAGCCCACCTACTGCCACCACTGCAGCGACATGCTGTGGGGCCTCATCCAGCAGGGCTTCATCTGCGAAGGTGAGCGCATTCTTCTTTCAGCGGACCCTCCTATGCGTGCTCCTGCTGCCATCCTGCTGAATGGCCAAATAGGTCACCGCTCTCTTGATATCTCCCGAGTGGTGTTGTTTTCGGATATCACAGCCGCATAAGTCTACATTTTGCTAATCTGTCGTTGATTTTCTGGTCACGTTAATATTTCAAAATCGATTATATTTATACCTCCTATACCTTCCTAGTAACCTATCAAAAATGTATCACTTTCGTTTGCGGATCTTACTGAAATATTTATTCCAACACTTATTGCAAATTGAGGTTCTCAACACGTTTTTGGATATTTGAATGTTGCTTCATATTGATGTGAACATAGTTAATAGAAAGTAGGTACTCTAAATATTTTGGGGTTATCATTTTTGTTTCTAGAAAGGAATTGCTTCGTTTGCTAAGATGCTTTGGCTAACATTAAACTAGAATTTTATCAATAAATGACTAGCGTTTTCAACACTTCATACGTATAAGAAACTTGATATAGAAATGAGTTTGGGGGAATTTACAAAAATGTGCTTTTTTCTGAGCAGATTGTTCACCTTTACCCGAAATAGGAAATTACCTTTTGTTCGAAATATCCCAGAAAATCGTCGAAATCGCCCAAATTCACGCGGCAACTATCAGTGTGTAATAACGCGGAAATTTACATTTTTAACTTTCATCAACTATTCAACAAAGCGACTTCTGTGGAAAAATATATTTTCCGTTTCAATTTTTTCAAGTAAATGAGTATTTCAGTGAGAAAGTCTGCGCTATAATTAACCTCTATTTATACCCATCAGTACTAAGGAGAATATTTATTTTTGCTTGGTGGTAATTTGTTATAAATCACAAAGTTTCCCAAATTTTGATGAGTTTATTGAATGAAAATTTCAATTTGATTCAATACTAACCTAATGATTAGCTTGGTTTGTGGGAAAATCCAGAGCTTGGAAGTGAGAACTGTGGAAAAGATCCACTGGGAAGCATAATTACATTGGGTACAGATAGTTAATGTTTTTTTAAATAATGGTTTGTTCAACATAGTGTATAGAGATTTTTTTCTGATTGATTCGGCCGTTACTCGATGAAGATCCATAGTAATTTCAAAAACAACAACTCATGATTTGTCTCCACAAACTTTATTTTCAAAAAATATATCACATATTTCGCTATCACTGTAGCTTTTTCGTAGTGAATGACATACTGAAAGTTGATTCTATGACACAGCCCACCAAAACAAAATTAGTCTTGCTGCCGACAAAAAAATCAACTGACTTTGGTTAATTCATCTGTACTGATTCCAAAAATACAAACCTTTTCTTTGTATCAGCCCTAGTTTTCGAGATATAACATACTCATCAAATACTTAAATATTCTTACATTTCTGTATATTCCACCACTATAATTGCAATATGTTTATAAACAAACTCAACAAATTCTAAGACAAATGCATACTAATGACTTCTAATTTAAGTGTACTTATTGGAAATGCTCATAACATGAAATTAGCGCTAATTGCTTCTTATCTCTTGTCCGATAAGTAAATAGTATTTTCTCGGAAATGGCCTATAAAGTCGACTGCATTCCATTGTAAAATTTTGTCTGAACTTGAGTTTCGTTGCAACAGTTTGTGATTTTATAAAAAAGAGAAATCAAGCCTATTTTGGTGTTCATTTATAAGATCAAGATAAATCCTGGGCTCCACATGTAGTGTGCAAAACTTGTCTTGAAAACTTGCGACAGTGGACGAAAGGACAATGAAAATGTTTAAAGTTTGGTGTTCCAATCGTCATTTTGACGATTGCTATTTGTGTCTTGTGAATATAAAAGGCGTTAATCGTAACAATCGACATACGTGGAGATATCCTAACCTGGATTCAGCGCAATAAGACCAATTCCACATCAGCTTGAGCAGATACCCATTCCAATATTTAGCAGCCTACCTACGTTACCAGAGGATAATGTCGAAACGTTATCTGACAAACTACAGACTAATACAGTTGAGGAAGACGACAGTGATTCTGAAGGAGATTCAACACGTTCTGAGCGCTTTACTCAGGAAGAGCTAAGCGATCTTATTAGAGATTTGAACCTTCCAAAGGATTCTTCCGAGTTGCTTGCCTCCAGACTAAAGGAAAAGAAATTTCTTTTTTTCTCTATTACTACCGTAATAGAGGAAAAGATCTTTTGCCTTTTTTTATCAGCAGGATGATACGGTTGTTTGTAACGATATTAAAGGACTGTTAGAAAAAATGGGTGTATAGTATACACCAAATCACTGGCGACTTTTTATCGACAGTTCCAAACGAAGTTTAAAGTGTGTCCTTCTACATAATGGCAACAAATATGGAAGTATACCAATTGGGCATTCTACAAAACTGAAAGAAGAATATAAAACAATATCGCTGGTGCTAAAAAACATCAAGTATGACCAACATCTGTGTTGATTTTAAGATGATGAACTTTCTCCTGGGACAACAAGGTGGCTATACAAAATATCCTTGTTTCCTGTGTCTTTGGGATAGCAGGGCTAAGGACCAACACTGGAGTGGAAGAAAATGCTTTAGTTCAAGAAGCTAACGTAGTTAACGAAGCATTGGTCGATCGAGAGAAATTAATATTACCTCCGTTACATATTAAACTAGGGCTGATGAAACAATATGTAAAGGCCCTAAACCAGAATCGTCCTTGTTTTGAATACTTGACCAGCAAATTCCCTGCACTCAGCAAAGAAACATTGAAAGCCGGAATATTTGATGGGCCTCAGATACGACAACTTATAAAAGATTCGCATTCTACAGAATCGATGACTGAAATTGAGTGTAATGCATGGTGCTCTTTTGTAAAAGTTGTGGAAAATTTTCTTGGAAACAATAAATCGGAAAATCACCGGGATTTAGTGGAAGAAATGCTCAACAATTTTAACAAACACGGTTGTCATATGAGCCACTTAGACCGTTTCCCAGAAAATCTTGGTGACCTTAGTGAGGAACAAGGGGAACGCTTCCACCAAGATATCAAAACGATGGAAGAGAGGTACCAGGGGAGATGGGACACTCACATGATGGCGGATTACTGCTGGAGTCTTCAAAGGGACCGTCCTTTTCAAGCCTTTGCAAGAAAATCATATAAAAGGAAGTTTTTAGGTGACGCCGAATAACAGATTTGTGCTGCGATGCTGTTTAGGTTACATAAAAAGTTAAATTTTTTTAGCAGATATATGTGATGATTTTTGTAAGTATATTGTTGTACAATAAATATCTTACTTTGTATTCGTTTTTCGTTTGTTTGGTGGGTAGCATCACTACATATACTTTTATATACTTAAGGTACATCCTTAAGATATGATCACCTAGAACATATTATATCAATAATACATGTCTGTTTCCAAGAAAACAAGTTCAATAATGGTGATCTATTCAAATGCAATTAGTCATTAGGTAAAATGTTTGAATGTTTAAGTTTATTAATTCCCATTGCTTCCAAATAATTTAGGTATGTGTGAAATTTCAAAATCTGCGTTAAAGATATGATTTTCTTCCAAAAGATAATTTGAATACGTTGAACTTGTTTTCTCATTTACATAGCACCTATGATGTTCTTGGATGCGATTCCTAAATGTTCTGCCAGTTTGACACATATATATCTTAAAACAAATTCCACAATTTAATTTATATACTCCTGATTTCTCGAATTTAAATGATGTTTTTTCTCTATTATTTTTAACTAACTTGCCACCTCTACGTCATACCTGAATCGCTACAATAATTGTCTCCCCCCCAGAATTATTCCTAACCCCTAACTCCTAAAATATCTGAAAATCATATACTTGTTCAACTCCCACTAGTCTATCAGCGATGCCTGGAATAAATACCAATTTTCATTCTCTATATTCATTAAAATTTTATATCAAAGAATATCAGCAGTTTACACTTTGAAATGATTTCAAAATGCAAACACGGAGGGGATCTATTTGGTTTTTATTGGTACTTAAATCTTTATATCCTAGTTTTATTATGTCTATACCTATATGGTTATAAAGTTACGTAAAATTGAATATTCACGGATAATAAATTATTTTAGGAACTCATCATCGCAGTATAAGTACTATTTAATAAGTATTGGCGTGAGTAGATCAACAGGGTGAGATAATTATTTGTTTTTTTAGAAGATATTATACTACGTTAAGAAATAACCTCTAGATGAAATAAAAACTATGATGATAATGATGACGAATAGAAAATCTTACCTTTTAATGAGCATTTTTTAATATCATTTTTATGACTAGAACATTACTACGGTATACTAGTTTTCACTTTTCAGTTTAAAATGTTTATTTTACGAAAATATGTACTCGTAAAGTACAGGTTGACGCAAAGTAGTCTACTTTGCCATTTCAACATTTGTATACTCAGAAGTAACTCATTTATTTATTTTCTTCACAACCCTGTATTTGCTAAAATTGAGTACTTCTGGGGTTTTAACCTGAGGTTGAGATATCAGTGGGTGTATCTCTTTTGAAGTAAGAAGAAGTAAGATTTTGACGTTACTTTAAATAATTGAAGGTAAAAAACTATTACGGTCACTACGTTCACCAGATATCATATCCTTTGATTTCTTCAAGGGTAACTTTGCAAATTTATACAAAACTGAACTACGCGAAATTGTGTAATATATTTATTTAAGCGAACTACTAGGGTTTAGCAAAAACTGTAAACGTGAATATCTTTATTTAACACATTTCCTATTCATTAATATAATTTTGATTGTTGCAACTAGTTTTCCTTCATTTTCAGTATTTTAATATAAACATTTGTTCACAAAAAGGATTTGAAGCTTTAATAACTTCTAATTAACATATGCTAGTTCTTTCGATAGTAGGCTGTGCTAAGATCTTCATCGCTCTACTCAAACTGATCGGTTTATCTTCTTGTTTGTTCTTTTATACGGTTAGAACGCCTTAGTGCAGTTATTTGTCCTCTCCTTTCATC